TGCGTGCAATTGTTATTTATTTTTTTTAGACAACCTATCATGTTTCCACCTATTCATAAATTTTTGCAGTGGATATATAACTATACCAAATTCACATATATGTTTGGGGATTTTAAATGAAATAAACTGTATCTTGAATTTTAGCCAAAAATGGAAGTTTTTACTGTTAAATATTTAAGCATCAAGTCAGCTGGGTTATGTCTTTAAATGTCAATAACTGAATGTTCAGAACTTCACGGTGTGTTGTCATGTGATGTATTTTGAAGACTGATAGACTAGTACATGTATGTATCAAATGTTTTGTCCAAGTAATGTTTTCTCAATAAAACATCCACCAGGGGTGGGGGTTTAGAGCTTGAAGGGTTAGAATTAAAGAATATTCTACAAGAGAAGACCTCTTGTAAGAGGGAAATACCACGGGTACCTGAAGTGGATACACCCCCCCCCCCCTCAGATAATTAAAAAAGAAAGAGCCTTTAATTTTCCATAAATATTAGATTTTCCATTCAATCACATCAATACTCTATTATATGTAAGCAATTTGTACTTTTTCTTACGTTCAGAGAATGGCGCTATAGGGCACTACATGTAATACACCCTCATAGAAAGTTGACTCTTTATTACCTAACTTTGACCTAGGGATCTGAAAACATGATGAAAATAGAGTGATTAGTCTCTTTTTTAATCACTTCTGACATATTGAATATTTTGCATTTTGGACTTTTAATTTTAATTTTTTTACATCACAATAATTGGATTTCATTTTGTTGCTATAAGGCCTTTTTATTGTGTATGTATTTTTTTTTTAAATTATGGGATCGACAAATTACGTAGAAATAACCCCAAACTGCCACTGTTTTCTTTTCTTGAATTTATGCTTGTATACTTGAAACCTTTATAAAGTGCAGTTTAAATAAATGATGAAAGTAAATCAGTATCAACTTTGTTGTGAGGAACATGAAACAGTTCAGTTGATGTGACATTTCAGACCCTCTATTACAGAAATCTATATTGAGCATAATCCTGACCATTCTTTTTCGAAATCAGTTATGTAAAATATACTCCATGTTATGTCACGATTTACAAATTACATCATCTACTTTCAGCACGTTCTTATACTCAAATTCGATATTATTACTTTTTTAAAGTTTGATTAGCCAGTGTTCTTTTTTCTTTGTTTCGATGTTTAGAAAACGCCGATCTAATTTCAGTCTTTTTTTAATCACCGAGGGTCAACTTGCTACAATTTAAGGATTGACGTGGGAGCCGAAGCACCTGATTATGTCGTTTTTGTGTAATCATTTTACATACTTTTTCTGAAGTTAAGAAATTGGCCATACACGATTTAAAAAGAGATTTTTTCATTTACTGCACTTACAGCACTTGCAATCTCTAAATCGTACAAGCAAATTCAAATAATTGAAGTCCCCCCGCTTTCGGCGTCATAATTTATGGCAAATTATGTCAAATATGGACGCCATATCATATTACATTCAAAAGTAATCACCATTCTTTTGAAAATTATTGAAGGTCGAGCCAAGAAGGCAAAAATCATAGCATGATCGGAAACATCTTGTTACAGGCATTGCATGTGTCAATTATGAAAGCCTTATCTCTTTTTAATCAAATGTTAGTAAAATTAGAAAATTAAAGGAGACTTACCTGTAAGGTGAACTTTAATTGAAATTCTCCGAAGCACCAAGGAACGTTGGGTATTACGTGAGATATGCAAGCCTACTCCCAGATCAGTATTTAACTCAATATGTGAATATTCCTGATGATATGCAATTTTACAGATGCTACATATTATAATTTTATCACCCAAGTTCCCATGGGAGGGAGATCTATGGCAAGCCCTTTTACTATTTATTCGGAAAATAAATTTCATCTGAAAATTACAGAGATATCTCTCATTTTAGAGAGATATCTCTTAAAAATAAGAGATATCTCTCAACTTAAAGAGATATCTCTTATCCTTCAGAGATATCTCTATAAGAAAGAGATATCTCTTAAAGTTAGAGAGATATCTCTTATACGTAGACAGATATCTCTTTTTCTTTGAGAGATATCTCTTTCTCCTTGAGAGATATCTCTTTCGTGATAAGAGATATCTCTGAACGTTAAAGAGATATCTCTGATCGTTAGAGAGATATCTCTTTCAACTAGAGAGATATCTCTTTCAACTAGAGAGATATCTCTTTCACTGAGAGAGATATCTTTCCAAGTTAAAGAGATATCTCTTAGTAAAAGAGATATCTCTCTAAGTTTATCTTAAGAGATATCTCTCAAAGTGAAAGAGATATCTTTCAAAAGGGTCTAAAAGAGATATCTCTGAAGCAAAAAGAGATATCTCTCTTCATTATGTTTATTTAAATTCCATTTGTAATGACTTCTCCCTTTACCGGAAGTGAACTTTTTATTCATTATTTCAAAAGGTGAGAAAATTCGGTCCAGAGTCTGTAAGTCTCGTCACGTGACTCGCGAGATTTTACGATAAATTTATCTTCCTCGCACATGGTGAATGTGTATTTGAGTTCAGCATGTTTCTGGTTTACACACAGCTTTCAGGGGGAAATTAAATAGTTTAACAAAGCCGAAGGGTTGTCCGACTTACGATGTATGAATTTTATGTCATAAGAAATTGGATGCGAGCGTCCACCAGGAATATTTCGATCGAAATACAGGTAAACAAATCAGAGAGTGTCATCCGTTTCTTGTTTATTTTGAGGGAAAATGAAGTGTTTTATTCTTAACCGAATGAAATAGTTTTGAAATTATTTTTTGCCTTAATTTTTTAACAGATTTCTCTTGAATCCGAGATGTTATTTATCAGCTGATTATAGAGGAGGAGTTTTGTCATTGATGGGTACCAACGTCATATTTATTATTCCCCATTTTCAAAAGTGAGTTATCTCCCCTCAAAATCGGAACTCTTCTACACTAGCACAACTTCCGCGGACTACACGTTACGATAATCCAACAAAATAGTGATCAACTTACACGCTGCATTAAAAATTTTAAAAGAAGGAAACGGTTTTCAATATTTTTTTTAGATAATAAGCGATTTTATAAAGGGTCTGTTGCCCCCCCTTTCTAGAAAGCTATACGAATTAGCCAGGCACGTATCATCGTCTTTAAAAGTGGGGGGGGGGGGGGCAGCCAAAGAAATATGTTTTTTTTCTTACCTGGAAAAGTTGACAAGCAAAGAAAAACCTTGCCCAAAGTCGAAAAGCTACTTATTTCAGTACCAGTTCCTTGGCATACAATACTACATTTCCCTTATATAACTTTACTGTAGTATAAACTGTGTGTGTGTTGGGGGGGGGGGGGCATGGCAGCTTTCAATGAACATTTTCAATAGAAAAAGTAAAACATGAATAACACTTGAGAAAAGAATGTTTTCCGTTAATTAACAAGAAATACGCTAGGAAATTATTGTATCAATTTCGTGTTTCTGCTGTCAATTCTCTGATCTAAAACAAAATGTGTATTTTCCTCGGGAATATGCATGTACATATGCTTAGATCCTGCACTAAAACTTTGATTAAATGCAGCTCAGACTTTATACGACATATGTAACACGAATTCAGGTCGATGCTATTTTGATTAGTCTTTCTTCGTTACATGAGCACATGAGATTAAATTATTCATTTAGTAAGAATTCCATTCAAAGTTTTTAATACTATGCATGCAGTGAATCAATTATTTTACAAATAAAAAATTCTGGAAACACGGTTAATTCAAATAAAATAGGCCTTTAATTGTCACCAAATCTGTTCTTGTAAGTAAAAGTTCTATTTTATGACATACAATCGAGCAAAAACGCAGTTTCTTGGTATCGGTCGCGGAAGACGAACTACTGCTGTATATGCAACAATTTCAGGGGTAAAACTGTAAATGGACATGTCATCAGTCTCCAAAAAATTCCTAGAGATGCAGAGAAGAAAATATGGCTGCAGCATGCTAGATTAATTCGTAAAAACTAAAAATTCTTACATTTGTTCTGCACATTTTGTAAATAGTGATGATCCGTCTGCAGAACATCCACTACCGAAAATTTGTTTTTTATTTTATTTTTTTTTTTTATTTATTTTTTCTTTTAAATAGGCCTATTCGAATATGCATCAGCATTTTATCAGTAATTTGTTTCTTTTCTGTTTTTTGTAAGGGGGGGGGGGGGGGCGACACACAGCGCCTTATTATACTACTATACAGATTAATACAAATCCAGAAAGAGACAATGAGTGGGCAATTTAAAAAAATACGAATCAGTTAAGATTTCTTTTTATTCACAAACACAATAACATTTTTCCATATGACAGAGGCATTACACCATGAACATGTTTACATCAAGAACGTCCGCGGAAGTGACTTTATTTATAGCGCATGCGTATTAAACACAGTAAAAGAGTTCCATTCAGGGGAAATAACTCACCTTTTGAAAATGGGGAAATGTGGCTGCATCACTTTTGTTTGGGTAATTTTTTAATATACTTTTTTTTTCAGTAAATTTTAACCTGCTTTGTATCAGTGGATTATTTTTTTGAGCATTAAATGTTTGTAGCAATTTAGATCTATTTCACAAGGATAAGATGTTCATATATTTTGCTAATGCGAGATTCCTCTGACTCTAACCCCCGCTTTTTATATTGTGACTTGTGCGGGGGAGACAGAAGACAGACATAACAAACACTTTATGCCCTGGTCATATTCATGGCGGGGGATATCTCCCCCGCACAAGTCACAATATAAAAGCGGGGGTTAGAGTCAGAGGAATCTCGGATTAATATTTTGCCATCTCTCTGCATAAAATAAAATTTAGATGACCATATTTCTCACTTTAGAGAGTATGTTTCCTGTTTATAGAACATGGTTTATGGATTTTGGTAAATTTTTCTGTCTGTTCAAATTCGCCTGCATGGCACAGTGGTTAGAGTGTCTGCTCTAGTAGAGTCGCGAGTTTGAATCCCACTGTGGGAATTATATGTAGAGACCTGTCCTTGGGATGATACAGTATAAATGTGGCCCCTTGTTGCAGTAGGTCAGGTGTTGGCACAAAAAAAGATCACTTCCTGCTCAATCAGTCAATGGCCCTGAGTGCTGAGTATAGGTCATTAGGACAAAATTTGCAGCTCGATCTCCACTGTCGTTTCCATATGAGTGAAAAATTCTTGAGAGGAACGATAAACAATAAACAATCAATCTGTCTGTTCAATTTATTCACTGATATAACACAACTGTATACACTAAAACTTATTTTATAGCAGAGGTACAAGAGAGCCAGTAACACAGATAAAAGATGCAGTTCCTAAGACAAAGAGATCCAAAGTCAGCAGCACCTAAGACTATACTGATCATGACTTTGAATTATCAGCATCCAAAACAATGCAGATCAAATACAGGTATGAAATTGATGCAACAAAATAAGTTCTAAGACAAATATAAAATTTATTTTTTATAAGACATAGCATATCAAAATGACTAATATACTAGTCAACAACTGGCCAGCTTTAAAAATATATTTGTTTGATGTACTCCTACCCACTTTTATCAAGGTGGTAGGTAGGTTGGTAGGTACTGGTAGATTTTTTATGCCCCACCATGATTATGGTCTGGGCATATAGTGTTTGTCATGTCTGTCTTCCGTCTTTCTGTCCATGCATCACACTTTGCGTTTAGCTCAGTTCAAAGCCCAGTTTCAAAGAAACTATACAGGATATTTCATCAAACTTTGCTGATAAATATTGATAAGAGCTATGCAACTGCATTAACATTTTTTGTCCTTGACTTTTCCTTTGACCTTGACCTCACTTTTCTTAAATTAGTGTTTAACTCAGTTTTAAACATACCATTCAAGATGGTATTACAGCAAAACTCGGTTATAACGAAGTTGCTGGGACCTATGAAATTACTTCGCTATATCCATAATTCATTATAATCATATAAGAAATTCATTAAAATTTTATAGATGGGAATTAAAAATGACTTCGCTATACCCATGAATTCACAATATTTGTGTTCGTACTAAACGAGATTTACTGTATCAAACTCACCATACTGATGAGAGCTTTTCAACTGAAACAAACATATTTTGACCTTGGCCTTTCTTTTGACCTTGACCTCAGTTTTCCTAAGTTAGTGTCAAACTTCATATGGTGATACAATCTGATGTAAGCAATTCAACTGCATCAACATGATCTTGACCTTTTATTTGACCTTGACCTCACATCTCTGAAATTAGTGTCAAACTTCATATGCTGATACATACTGATGTAAGCAATTCAACTGTAACATTTTTCAAGATATCCTGATCAAATTTCATACGAATTTTCATTTTGCATGACTAATATACCCTCAGCGGGCATTCCTGTCCTGTGGACATATTTCTAGTTTTTTTTTATGCCTTACAGCATTGAATAAATTGATAACTGTCATATTTAAAACCACAGACTCAGAAATCTGTTAATGTTTTCATTTAGTTAGAAAGACTTTGTATTAATAAATTAAAAAGCATCCTAAAAATATATGATACCTTATCTTTAAAACATCTATGGAAATTAAGGGGGGGGGTGTTAAAAAATTTGAAGTGCCCCCAAAAAATGAATGCAAATGGGTAGGGGCTATTTTAACAGGTCGGTCAGAGTTCATCAAACAAATCATTTTTTTATTGTTGGCCTAGGAAGGGTACCCTAAATATGAAAATGCAACAAATATTTTAAATAAAAAAATTTTAAATGAAAATATTTTTTATGTATAAAAAGGACAATTTTTATTCTGATTTTCTTGTAAAATCATTGATAAAATTTAATGAAGAAAGCTAATAGGGGTGAAACGATACGCTTCCTTCACGGTTCGATACGTATTGAAAAATTTGGTCTCGGTTCGGTTATTTTCGATACGATACATTTTGATAGAAGGAAACAGATTCAATGTTGTTTTATGCTACCTTTTACTTAATCTAGTAAAATAATTTATGTACAAAATGGATAGAATGTATCAATTTAATTGATTTGACTGTTAAAAACTATTTTAGAAACTTCAAGTCCACACAAACTTACGTTTCTGAACTAATTATACAAAAAAGCATGTTTATAACCTAGTTCCATACCCGACTGAATGACGATCCCGACCGAAAAAAGAACCGAACCGAAAGTAGAGATTTTGTATCGTGTATCGAACCGAGAAAAAATACCGCGGTGAACCGATACCGCGGTGAACCGTTTCACTCCTAAAAGCTAAGATTTGTATCAGATAAATGGATATTTGTAAGATTTATAACTCATTATTTGTCAGGCACCTTAGTCCTACATTATTATCAGTTGCACATACAACTATGACCTATGTAATAATTCAAATGGCATGTTACAGAAGCTTGCTAAATTACAGGTTTTGTCTGTACATCTGGCAATCTTAGGACAATACTGGATGGTTTTAACTAAGAACTGATCCAGCATGAAGACCAGCCATGTGCCTCACCTGTCATGACATTATTAAAGGTAAGTGTCCCTATAAGCAAAGAATCTGACAAAGCAAATCCTTCATCTTAAAAGATTTACATTTAATACTTATTTGATTGGTAGTTTTACAGGGTTCGACTTTAACGTTAGTCCCTTAGTCTCAGACTAATACATTTTCTTTCGGACTAATAAAATCTGTGTCTAATTAGTCCGAACGGACTAATGAATTTTTCTGGGGAAAAAGAGTCGAATTTATCGATGTTCAATTCTCAACAACTTTCACTGGAAAAACCCATGTTTAATTTTAGCTTTCCAGCATCTTGGCGGATGTATGCATGATATAGTCATGTATAGAGTAAACGAATGCAATCGGGAATACGATCGTAGTTCGAATTCCTGATTGCGAGCAAAATTTTCAACGAATCTTGGTATAAAACATTTCTTGTAAAAGTTTTGTTTATTTCCAAAAAAGTATAAAAAGTACATAGCAATGTTAATTCTACTTATTATGCCCCCCTTCGAAGAAGGGAGGGCATATTGCTTTGCTGCTGTCTGTCGGTCGGTCGGTCTGTCGGTCCATTTAGTTTCCGTTCATTTTCTTCATAACCATTGCACATACTGAAATGAAATTTGGTATACATGTATATCAGATGAAAATCTAGGTCAAGTTCTGTTTTGGGTACGATCACACCATAATTTACAGAGTAATGCCCCTTGGATTTTTGAAAAATTCCAATTATTTGCAGTTTCCGTTCATTTTCTTTGGAGAGGTTGCACATATTGAAATGGAATTTAGTATACATATTAGTCAGATTAATATCTAGGTCAAGTTCTGTTTTGGGTATGATCACACCATAATTGATAGAGTTATGCCCCTTGGATTTTTGAAAAATTCCAATTATTTGCAGTTTCCTTTCATTTTCTTTGGAGAGGTTGCACATATTGAAATGGAATTTAGTATACAAATAAGTCAGATGAATATCTAGTTCAGGTTATGTTTTGGGTATGATCACACCATTTTGACAGAGTTATGCCCTTTTGGACTTAGAAAAATTCCAATTTGTGGGGGAGGGGGGCATAAGTGTTTTACAAACATCTCTTGTTTATTTATATTATTGACGGACTCATAAAATTTCCTGCGGACTAGTAAAAGTAAAGAGACACTAGTCCGGCCGGACCAAAGGCTAAAAATGTTAGTGTTGAACCCTGGTTTTAATTATTTTTTTTCATCTACGAAGCCTTTTATTTAGCATTTCTGAGTACTGGTATATGATTGCCATACTTTCCAAAACTTTTTTTTTAATGCTTTATTTTGAAGCATTTTCATTATCCATATATACACTGTACAAACACAAGACAATTTTCACCCACTCACCACCACAATTGCACACACTCACACAGTGCACTTTCTAAACTTGAAAATAATGAGATGTTTGTAAAATACTTATGCCCCCTCCCCCCACATTGGAATTTTTTATCTAAGTCCAAAAAGGCATAACTCTGTCAAAAATGGTGCAAACATACCCAAAAGAGAACTTGACCTAGATATCCATCTGAAAAATCTGTATACTAAATTGCATTTCACTGTGTGCAACCTCTGCAAAGGAAATGAACGGAAACTGCAAATAATTTGAATTTTTCTAAATCCAAGGGGTATAACTCTGTCAAAAATGGCGCCATGTTCATACCCAAAACCGAACTTGACCTAGATATTCATCTGATATACCTGTAAGGCTGTATACCAAATTTCATTTCAGTGCAATGGTTGTGAAGAAAATGAATGGAAACTAAATGGACTGACAGACAGCAGCAAAGCAATATGCCCTCTTTCTTCAAAAGGGGGGGGGGGGCATAATAAATGTACATATATGTAAACATATGACAGTTAAACATACAATTTATCCGAAAACCTCGCATTGAAAAACTTTTTCACAACAATGTTTCTGTAATACTTAAATAATTTTACTGCATCAATAAATAATGGCTTACTATCTTGTGATCTTGAATAGTAAATAAAATTTTTTGCAACTAATAAAAGAAAATTTTCTAAACAACTTCCTTCTATATTAACAAGTAAAACAGTTCTTTTGGATATTTTGTAATCTTTTTCAATGACACAAAACCATTGTAAAAATTGATTCCAAAATTCAGTCACATTAATATACACAATCATAAAATAAGTGAATTATTGTTTATATCCTGTTTCTATGTCTATTTGTCTTTTGTCAACTTTAACCTCCACCATAACTTTTGAACCATGAGAGATACAGACTTCTTATTTAATATGCCTACTCCACTAATTAAGTTCTTTCAAAAGACATCAAGGTCAATGACCTTGTGACCTTGACTGTGACCTATATGCTAAAAATAGCTTTTTTTATTTAAACTTTCGCCTAACTTTTGATACATTAAAGATAGAGAAATCATATTTGGAATGCCTTCTTCATTAATTCTGCTCTTTCAGATGACACCAAGGCCAGTGAACTTTTGACCTTTACTGTGACTTTAATGCTATAAATACCATTTTGAACTTTCACCATACCTTTTGTACTACATGTATTAAAGATAGAGACTTCATATTTGATCTGCATACTCCACTAATTAAGCTCTTTCAAATGACACCAAAGCCAATGACCTTGTGACCTTGACTGTGACCTTTATGCTTAAAAAAACTTGTTTGAATTTGTTGCCGCCTGGTGCATAGTGTTTCACAAACACATCTTGTTTTGAAGTAGTTTTAATATTTGAATTTCTGTAGAATTTTATGTTACATATAAAAACCAAAAATTTTTTAAAATCAAAATCATTTTTATTTCAGTACTTTGTGACAGTGGGATGATGGAATATTAAAGAAAGGACAAGGCTCTATATTACTGCATCAGAGATCAATCCAGGTTTACTTATAAATCGAAGAAAAACACTTAAACAGTCAAGCATCATGTCGCCGCTTTAACAATAAGCCTGCTTATATAACCAAGAAAGCACAGTGATCAGTTGTACCTATGATGTCAGACAAGATCCCGAAAAAACTTCCAGTACACTCATCACTACCTGCAAAGAATTAAAAATTCTAAATGACTCATATCAACACTTTTGTACTTCATCTGGCTTGTATTTTCAGTACTCATTAGCTTTTAGCTTCCTTCAAACAAAATTTCATAAGTACTAACTTGCAGGTGTAAAATATTTGAAACAGTTTGCTTGTCCCAAAGGAAATTCTGCCAATTAGCAGTGGCATGAGCAGTTGATTGATGTCACAGTTCCACCGGCAAAGTATTTGTAGCTGAATGGTGCCATGTAAAACACTTTTCACAAGAACATGGAAAACATCCTAGGAGCGAGGATCTACAAGAAATTAAGAATTTTCAATGTTATAAAATGCTTGTGTACATCTTTTATATATATAACTAATTACGCATGTAACTACCAAATATACAAATTAAACTTCAATCCTTAAATTTGTTCTTAAGTTTATTTATAGTGTATTAAAATAAGCATACAATATTTGTCTTGTTATACTGAAGGATTCAATATTAAGAAAATGTCGTTCATTAAAAAAAATGTGCAACCATTCTGCGCAGTTAGCATTTTTTATGGAGAACCTATCGATGTGCATTTGCAATTGTTGGGATTTAATGACAGGCACACAGTAGAAGAATTGTACTTGTTAATAAATGTTTTTTACCAATCAAATTTCAAATTGATAATTTAATAAGAAAGCATATGACAAATTTAACTATCATTAGTGTCCAATGATTCACCATGGTTTTTGAGCTTTTGTGGACTTGATACTTAACTACCGGGGTAGTAAGTTTGAAATATTAAAGTAAAGAAATATTAAAGTAAAGAAAAGTGCAGCCCAAAAATTTATCCTGTACCTGATTTAAAATGAGTGCCATCATTAACTACTTGGGAGTTGCCACACTCTTCACGAGTATAAGAATTATTGAATATGCCTCATTAACAGCATTGTCCCTTTTTTCAGTACCTCCTGGATCCCTGTGAAATATAATGACAAATGTAGATAAAATGTTCTACCATTGAATGATGAATGTCTTATGGACCCAGTGCAGACCTGTTTGGTGACACCATTGGATAAATTGGGGATTGTTCTAGCTAAGACAAATAAGAAAATTCCTATTTCTAATGCCTATTTTAAGAAAATAAAATGTCTTTCTAATAATTGTAAGAGTATTTTGGAACACGGGCACATGAAGTATTGATAATACCCCCCTTTTTTTTAAATTAAAAAAAAAATTTAAAAAAAAAGGGGGGGGGTATTATCCATACTTCAGGTGCCTGTGTTTGGGAAGGGGGTCATAAGGCTTTACAGTTAATATATTGATCGTACATGTATGTTGTTTAACGTCCTACACTGGCTACAGTTAATATTGAAGTTGAATATATACATCCCTGTGTACTTGAAAGAAGACTTAGTAATGTTGGACGTTATTTTTGGAGTATTAATTAATTAAAAAAAAAAACAACATTAATTCTATCAGGATAATGTTTAATGTACGTAGTAATCAACCCTGTATTCCCGTGATCGATGAAATTGGGTACATGTATTTCGAATTTTTAATTGATCCCCGGCTCAGCTGTCCTGTGAGCTAAATAAATGAAATAAACATAATATGGAACCAATCTTGAAATCCTGTTACTTTCGCTTAAAACAATAAAGCAATTAAACCTTGTTTACCTGTATCAATCAGTCCATTTTATCCTCTTCTTTTCAATAACCAGAAAACGAACGACTTAACAGACATCACTTCCTGTTTCGCTTTCGTTTTTAACGGGAGAATTAGTTATTTTATTTTAAGGGTGACTGGAAAAGAGATATCTCTTTAGCTTAGAAAGATATCTCTTTTTGAAAATCTAAAGAGATATCTCTCTAATTAAGAGAGATATCTCTTTTAAACTTGTTAAAGAGATATCTCTCTAACTTTAAGAGATATCTCCCTCGCTTAAAGAGATATCTCTCTAGCTTATAAAGATATCTCTCTTACTAAAAGAGATATCTCTCTTTCAAAAAGAGATATCTCTTTTGTTGAAAGAGATATCTCTCTGAAGTCTAAAGATATCTCTATTAGTCAAAGAGATATCTCTTTAAGCTAAAGAGATATCTCCATAAGCTAAAGAGATATCTCTCTATGCTAGAGAGATATCTCTCATTTTGAAAGAAAAAATTATTTTACGAATAAATAGTAAAAGGGCTTGCCATAGAGATCAAGGGTGGGCACGTAATACCCAACGTTCCTTGGTGCTTCGGAGAATTTCAATTAAAGTTCACCTTACAGGTAAGTCTCCTTTAATTTTCTAATTCTCCTTCACCACCAAGTCACGTGGGTATCACGTGAGATGTTTAAAGCAAATATTCACATATTGAAAATAGGAATTATACAAAGAAGAAGAATTCCTATAACTGTCAAAAATTTATTGAATATTCATATCATCTAAACTACATGTTGAAGACAAAATTGCAGACTGAAATTTTTTATCATTATTTAAAACAGTTTTGTCATAAAATTTTGCAAATGTATTCTCATTAGACCATCCAACAAGTGATAAGATATTGTCAACTGAAATCCCTGAAGAACGTGCGGCGGCGCTTGCAGCAGCGCGAGTGCTATGTCCAGAAAACTTGCTGGTGTCAATGCCAGATTTAGATAACAGAGTTCTTATCCAGCGAGAAATACTGTCCTTCGACGCCTCTCGGAACGGCTTCTGGGTTGTCAAAAGAAGTCTTCTACATGTATTTCCATTACCTCTATATTTTTCCGTTTTTGTTATATACACTTTAATACATGTCACAACACAAAGCATCTTATTTGGAAATGCTAAAACTGTAATTGGTTTTATATGATAAGATGGCCTAGATTGTTTTACAAGATTATTTACAAAAAACACATTTCTATCTTCTTAAACATGCTACGTAATCAGCGTTTCTCAAATGGCGATATATGGAACGCCATCACTGCCTTATAGCATACAGCTATGCATTTATTATGTCAATTTATAATTACGTGATGTGAACATATCTTAACGTTATGTCCATTTTTTATGAGATGATGTAAATATATCTTAACATCATGTCAATGCTGCATTACATGAAGTAAATACATCCTTTCATTATGTCAGCACTTCATAACTTGAAGTAAAAAATTCATTGTGTGAAGTGATAATGTGTTTACATTGTGTTAAAACTTTATTACGTGAAATGAAAGTTTCTTTACTTCATTTGATTTCTTTAATATGTGAGGTCAAAATTGCATTACGTCAAGTAAATTGTGTTTTATAATTAAACTTATCATTACATGAAGTCAAAAGCGCATTCATTTTTGAGAGTGTATATTTCTATTATATCAAAGCATTATTACTTGATATGGATTTATCTTTATTTTACGGCAAGGGCATCATGATGTGAGGTGAACACATCTTACCTTTATGTCAGTGCTTTATTACGTGGTGTAAAAAGTGTATAACACAATGTGAACATATCTTTATATTATATCAATACTTTATTACATTATGTCAAAACTCCATTCCGTGATGTGGATATATAATTACGTTATGTCAACTCTTTCTGTGATTTAAAAATATCTTTATATTGTGTTAACTCTTTATCATGTTGATTCCAAAAGTTCATTACCTGATGTTAAAATACATTTACATTATCTCAAAGCTGTATATCTAGTATTTAATGAATGTTGACGACCGTGTGTTAATGACTGGTAAGAAGGGGGAGGGGTCCTGATTGATTAGGACAAATTACATGCACATAATATCAACCCCCCTCTTTTCCCAGACAAACTTTACGATAGAAAATGTAATGTTCATTGAAACTGTACAGCCCCCACCCCCACTTCTTGTTGAAGTATAGTCCACTAAGGGTATTGTCATATATCTGGGAAAAAATGGGACTGATCGAAGTTGGACCCCTCTCCCCGAAATAGGATTTTCGGGCTTGGACTTTTTTTTCTTGGCTTGTCAAGTTTTTTGGGTAAATGATTTTTTTTTCTGGCTGACCTCCTCTTTCAAAAAAAGATGCTATCACTGGAGTTAGTAATTTTTTTTAATCATTCCAGGGCCAGAATTCTATTACAAAAATCTACCAGTCGCTCATCTAAATCAATTGAATATGCCTTAGTAAGCATGCATGGGCACAAAGGACGGAAAGCGGAGAAGCTCTCAGGCTTTATAGTTTTATAGAAAAAAGTTTTCAACTTAATTCAGCTAAACTTAATGTGAAACTGATGCAATGTCCTACAAAGTTTAAGACTTTTATAAAAAAAAAAAAAAAAAAAAAAATTCAAAATAAAAAGAAAAAAAAAAGATTGCTGCATGCACGACTCAGAATATTTGATTTATTTAATTATCAGATTAAAGTAAACACCATTGAATTTCGACGTGACTTTAATTCACAGTCGCAGTGTAAAGGCTTTGCATGTTTCAAGATTGTCAATCATTTGTCGCTTAAAGTTTTCATTTAAAGATGTCATTCCGAAATCGCTGAGAATCTCTCTCTCTCCCGCCATTTTTAGTGCTTGCGGAACGCGGAAAATATGTTATGCTCATATAAAGGCCGAGGATACCCGTGTTCGCATAACGTAATAGTGAATCGACATAATGTAGAAGAGTGCGCACAGTATAGCATGAGCTTTTCACTTCAGTTAATAAAAACTAAGATTGTCATGAAAAGTAAACATAACGAAATGCAAGTTGACGAAATAAAATTGTAGCATGTGTAAATGTCATAAAGAGTTGACATAATGTAAAGGGAAGTTAACACGATGCAATAGTAGTGTGAGTAAATGTCATAAAGAGTTGACATAATGTAATGGAAGGTTGACGCAATGCAATAGTAGTGTGGGTTAATGTCATAAAGAGTTGACATAATGTAATGGAAGGTTGACACAATGCAATAGTAGTGTGGGTTATTGTCATAAAGAGTTGACATAATGTAATGGAAGGTTGACACAATGCAATAGTAGTGTGGGTTAATGTCATAAAGAGTTGACATAATGTAATGGAAGGTTGACACAATGCAATAGTAGTGTTCTGCTATAAGGCAGTGACGGCGTTCCATAGCGATACATAGATTCTCATTGGTTATGAAATTAATAGCATCAGCAGTTTTAAATTGTTTGACAAAAATCTCCTTGTCATACGAAACGCCATCATTGGTTCTTTGCTACACTCGTTCACATTCGCCCGAATTTTTATCCCATGCATATGTATATTTCAACAGTGAATGAAAGGCTGTGTAAATTTCAGACGCTTATTATGTAACGTCGATAATGCCACGCCTTACTGAAAGTCCAAGGATAAAAGAGAATTGTACTAATTTGGGAAGCATAACATTTTTGAAAAGTAGACCAAACTTCAAGGTCTATGTCACAGGGTTAAAAAGCAAAGTAAAGAGAAAGTCCTTGTCATAGGTAATATACATATCTGATATGAAAGCCCTATCGTTTCTCTTTCAAAAGAAATATGGCCAATTTAGAGTAATAATATCTTTGAAAAGCTGGTCATACTTCATGGAATACGTATTCAGAAAAGTCTTGCCACGGGTAATGGACTCTCATGCAAAGGTTACAGCATGACCAAAGTTAAAGTTTTTGTGACATACAGATGAGGGAGGGGTTTTCCTTATGAAAGATTTTGATTTTTTAAAAACATATCATGTTTCAGCGTCATGCTTCCTATTCAAAATTGTTGTGTATACATGTATGTAATGGTTACTTTATTCAGATTCTTTTTTTATCTCCATAATTCTAATTTCTCTTTTTAACATGTTCTTTAATATCTATAACAGCTTTAAAGTATTTCCTAGTGCTATATCAATCATTTGTAATATTCAGTTACAAAATATTTTGAATCTTACTTAGATTTTTTTTCTTTGCTCATATTCGCTAGCCAAGGGTTTCTGAGATCTCCTTTGCTCAACATAATTTGACTTATATACCTTTACGACGCAGTTGATACATATTTATAGTTAAAGGAAAGTTAGTTATTGAATTCATTTCACTCGTGAGACAAGATTTTTCGATATTTTCACGTTTACATCGGACTTGTCAAAATATTGATATTTAAAAAGAAAACGCCCGATTCGTAATATAAATTCTAAATCCAAATAAAATTAACCTCAAGTACCCACTACAACTGTCTGTACAGTTCAGATCTCAGACTGACAGCTGGAAACAAATTCAAGATTATTTTTTAAAATTCATTTTTTATTTTTTTTTTACATTCTTTTTTGTCATTTTTTCTACCAACTCATAACAATAACAATATCAGGAGTTATGTACATAATATACATAATATCAATAACAATATTTACAAGAAATGTGAGGATGATACTAGTGTAAAAAAATGAATGAGATAGATGGATAAGAGATTATCACTAATTTGTCATGTCTAGAAAAGCTAAATGCCATCATGTCTATAACAAAAGAGTTTACAAGTTAAAATTGATGCTTCCTAGGTTTGGCAAATGGCTAAAGATCTTTTCCGAGTCTGACGATTTCGTCGACAACGAATTCCATGTCACTTTTCACAATGTCAAGATTTGAGACAATCATCCTGAAAAAGTTCACAAATTGTCCATCTGGCTGGTACCCGACCATCATGGAACCAGCTTTCATCATGGCTTCCTTGACTTTTGGCCCTACTTTAGAGATCTGACTCCACCATTCTTCCGTTCTCTCCTTACCCCTCAATCTTTCTGGTATATAGTAGAAACACACATTGGTGCATTCGGGCTAGAAAAGAAATTGAGATCTCTAACTGACATTGTCAATACTGATATAACACTAATGTAACTTAAAAAGCCAAAAAGTAAAAATCCACTACTAGCCTATATCCTTACCTCCAAAAGAAGCTCGAAGCCTTCTCGTTGTTTGACTAGTTCGGCAAGGTATTTGGCACATTCAAACTGATTGTCAATGTCTCTCTCGAATCCTTCATCCCCTTTGTTCTTCCACATGATCCACAACTTCAGCACGTCATTCTTGCGTCCACACTGGATGGATTTGTCTCCAGTGTCGTAGGAGACGTCATAGAACTTGTCCTGCTGGAACAGGTAGGCGGCATTGGCAGAGTGGCACTGCTCAAGCAGACCCTGGAGGAGAGAAAAAATAAATTCAGTCTTAGTTTCAAATTTTTTCATGCTAATTTTGTGGTCTTTTGAAAAAATAATTTAAAAGATACATGTATACAGGTATGTAGAAATGTTGTATTACCTTGTGTCTTGTGAAGATGAGTGAACACTGCTGGGGGACTCCCATGAGTTTGTGGGGGTTCCATGTCATAGAGTCGGCTCTCTCCACCCCCTTCAGAAGACTGCGGTATTTCTTGGACATAAGGGCTCCACCTCCCCAAGCACCATCGACATGCAGCCAGATACCATATTTCTTGCAAATGTCAGCAATTTCATCAATGGGGTCAAAAGCACCAAATACGGTTGTCCCAGCAGTAGCGTTAACAAAGTAGGGGGTCATTCCTTTTTCTTTAGCTTCCAAAATTTTCTTTTCGAGATCTTCAGGGATCATTTTCCCTATAGAGTCAGTCTTGACGGAAATGAGATTGTCAAGTCCCATTCCCATAAAAGCTATACCTTTGGCTATGGAATAGTGGCACTAAAAGGAAAAGGAATACACGTACACTGTCAGTTTTGTTGCATTAACCATACATAGACTACAAAAAAATAAGAAAGTACCATTCAATCAATATATCCTTTTTTCTATAGGAATTTACCTTTTCTGAAGTAAAGGCACAAATTTCAGGGATTTCCCTCAGTCCCTTCCTTTTGACTTCGGGATACTGGTAAAACCTGGCAATGTTGAGTGCGTACATGTTAGATATGGAACCACCAGGGCAGAACATGGCATCTCCATCCGGGAAGCCGATTTTTCCCAGCATTTTATCAATGACCACCCTCTCCATGAGAGCAAAGACGGGGGAGACTTCGTACGTGTACAGACTGGCATTCATTGTCTCCGTCAGCCAGCATCCTCCCAAACTGTACTCATCAAGTCCGCCATACAGCTGGTTAAAAAACCTAGGGTGTGCTGTAAAGGAACAAGATACATACAATTATTATACCCCTTCTCTTTTTCACAAAAAAAAAATCTATATATAAAGTATGCCTTACTTAAAATTTCGCGGAAAAATGATAAATCGCGAACATAGCGAAATGAAAACGATCGTGATTATTTGCAAATCTACAGTATTAACTATTTTGTCTAAGTTTAATGCCACTAACCGACTTTAACGCTGTACTTGATGACATCTTGACACAGACTCAGTATTTTCTCGTCCGAGGTTTTGCTCCCCAATTCAAAATCAATTTTCTGTTTCAGATCTTCAGGATGTGAGAACTCCAGGACCTTCTCATTGCGGTCACGTGCCTTCATGAATCCGTCTCTCAGCATCATTTCATACAGCTTGTCCAGGAATTCGTGCTTCTCTTTCTCTTGTTTTGGTGCCTTCTTTTCGGGCTTTTTATGATTATCACTATGAGTTTCTTTAGTCTTTATAGTCATGATATTATTACACAGACTGTTTTCTTTGTTGGACTTCCTGACTGGTTTTTCGCTGAACATTGTGATTCTCTGCTTTTCTGTGGGTTCCACGTCAAAGTCGTTTTTATCGTGGATTCTCTTGTGAGCACTAATGTGCACTTTGTGGCTTTCTAAAAGGATGAAAAAAAAACAAGATTTATATAAATTGCCCTTGGCTTTTTCCTCAGAGTTATAACTAAGTGTCTGACAGTGCCTGACATGGCACTAACATCATAAATTTGGTGACAGTATTGTTTTATTATTGAAAACCAAAAGGGTAAAAAAAAATAATGAAAATATCTTTTCATCAAAAAATATTTTGCAATATTATTATTACCACAAGCCCAAAGAAACACTGGGGTGGGTGGGGTTGGGACAGTCCGCATACATTAAGATTTTTTAATGTTTTTTTTTTTTTTTTTTTTTTTGCTTCTCAGATTTTGTTGACAAAACTTTTTTGACAATTATATATATATTTTCTTTGTCATTTTTTTTATCCACTATAGAAGTTGCCCCCGCCCTTTTCAACACCTTTGATATGGCTTGTATAGAAAGTAACTTATTTTTATGCATGCTTTCATGTGGGTAGGAAGCGATTGGAGATTCCTATAAATCAAGTACTCTGCACATTATTTATAAACATTTTTTTAAGTGTCATAGAAGCCCATTTCGTAAAAAGGAGTACAATTAATTTTTCACTAATTAAAAATATCAATTTTAAAAATTCAATTGCCAATTGAGAGTGAGTAATCTGAAATAATTTTAAAGATGCGAACTTAATTATCGATTCAAGGAAAATTCCACTTCCACGTGGGGTTAGCCGGCATGCATGTGCGATCAGCTGATTGTCAGTTACAACTGAAAACACAGCTGATCGCGACATACCAGACCAACGCTTAGAGAGAGGGGCAAGAATATCGGCATTCAAATTCAATATCTTAAAGTAAATCAACGACTACATGCAAATATTCTTTTCATAATTATACATTAAATTAATGTCATTATTTTCACAATATTCAATTGCACTAATTTAATTTTAACTATGTATATCTTACTACAATCGAATAATTTGCTTAGAATTATTAAAAATTGAAAGTGATAAGTAGAAACTCACCTGTTATACAAGATGCCATCTTGAGATCTCAGAGTATTTGAACAATGAACTGGTACAATCCAAGTTGCAGCTTTGAAGCTGAATGCTAAAATATTATGACACAGTCCCTTATAAAGAGTAGTTGCCTGATTGACCTTACTTGACCTTTGAACTTCAAGCTTGGGAAATTTTATGCGTTGTTCGGATTGTCGTCCTTTCTTTTCAATGATGGAAGTGATAAATGAGCTAATTTTCCCCAAAGATTTAGGCTGTAGTAAGAAAAAATAAAATATTTTAATGAAATGCTTCATTATTTTGTCAGTTTTAATTATGTGAAGTTTATATTCAAGTAGTATAACGAATCCGTTTTGTCCGAATCAATATTTTTCAACGTCTAAACTATTATGCGTACACAACTCGCGGGGATTTTACCGGGGATCTTTCAATAAACCAATAAACCGGACAACGGGAGGCTAACATTTTATAATCCAATACAAACTAGTTTGTGGAATATACTACGGCCACTTTCCATCCAAATGTCCATACCGGATTTACAAATAATAATCCATCTAACCACTTGACATATTACAAGTATATTATTGAAAATTATAGTAATAGAAAGTTCTTCGAAACAAACTTAAAATTCTTTTATACATACATGCGGTGATTTTTTTAAAATTATTAATTAATTTTAGTTTGCTATTTTCATTTCATATTCAATGATTTAAAAAGCACTTGCCTATATATTTTGAGTATTTAAAAAAAAAAAACTGGTACGTTGACATTAACTCTTGCATGTCTAAATCAGGAAATTTTAGCATCGCGTAATGAGGCATAAATTATGAAATTGAATAAGGATATAATTGTTCGTAGTGAATAATTTGATTGTACGTTGTTAATAATAAAATTACATAATGACATATGTTATATCAGAAAATTTGTGTATGAAACGAGCGTATTAAAATTAACGTCAAATTAACGATTTACTTTTTTCAGCTGTTTATATGTGAAATATTTATATCTTATAAACTTTCGAAGATTATCTTATTGTGCATAAGGAAGCAAAACTTGCGATTTTACCTATCTTTTTACTCAAAATTATTGTATAAATTTGAAAAGGTTTTTTTTAAATGTATATAGCATCTTATTAAATTTCGACTATATAATTTTAAGGACTACTCACTACACTTTTAAATGTGCATTTTTATAAAAGAATATTTTAACTGAATTGTTTTACTTCTATATGCAATTATTTTTTTTAAGGAAATGTTAGGTTTAATTTCATTAAATATTCGATCAGCAAATACCGTTAATTAATTTAATCAATATTTTATTATGTAAGTAAGATTACATAATTGGATTGGACATCAGGCATGGCCTATATAAGTCCAAATACCGTTGCTGAGAGCACCTTAATTCAAATAACAATTCAAGTTAGGTGAAATTGTATCATACTGTAAATTAAGAGACTAGAACTTTGTAAATTATGCATAATGTAAACAACTTAATTATTTATATATTATATACTGTACGTACGTACGTACATACGTATATTTATAGGTATAAATTTAACCATGCATTCCAAATGATTTGTAAAAATATCTTTTGATAATATATTTAAATTGTTTCTTTTGTATAATATATACATGTAAGGAGCGAGCGTATTTTTCAAAACTTGTGCCCAATCCCTTTGTAATTGAAAAACAATTCAACAGCCTTGAATGCGCATAATACAAACTTTTTTTCAGATATCACGTGAAAGCCATGTGAATCATTCGACCAATCCGATCAATAGAATTTAACGCTAGTGTTTACTATATTGCTTCATGGACTGACGATTTTCCCACGCCGTGTTCTCTTACACTACAAACTCCTCTGTGCGCAATAACAATATCCATATAAGGTAGTTTCCTCGACCTGTCACGGACTTTGTAGAAATGTAGATATTCCTATTAAAAAGTCAAAATAATATAGCATATTTTCAATGTCAGCTGATGTGTTAATTATTTCTTTAATTTCATGATTATGACAATACAATAATTTCATATACAAGGGAAAGCCAGCAAATGCAAACTAAATAGATACGTGTGTGTGTAATTATTTATTGCATACTGTAACAATTGAACTATATAAAGAACTAAAGACGAAAATTATATATTTCATCGATGCTAACCAATCTCATGTTTGTTTATTTGTTGGAACATTATTTAAAAGAATTAATATCTTCTTGATTACTCCGCGAACATGACAAAATTTTTATTGTACAACAAGCATGTGACTATTTTTGTATTCTTTTAATTTACTAACAGAACTTATATAACTGCTATTTTGATTTAAGTACTGTGCATAAATATGCGGAGAAAAGATGCATGTATTTGTCTGAATAGTGACTATGCAATAAATTATACATGTAATAGTAATTGTCTTATTTGAAATTGACACAGTTTCATCAAGGAAATCCCCATGTTTTCTTGTAAACAAGGTCATGTGTGTATGTCTGGCTATCCCAAAGTTAAAAACTTTCCTCTTTGCGGGGGGTTATAGACACATTCAGCCAACGTGGTGGAATACATGTACAGTGGTATTCTTCTACTTTGTTATGTATTTTATTACCGAGGCGCACCCTCGTAATTCTCTTTTTTTTTCATTTGATATTATTTTAATCTTAAGAGACTTTTTTCTAAGAATAAACTTGTAAAATTCTTTAATTGGTTGTAATTGTTTAAAATACAGGATCTTAATTCCTAATCCGATTAAGCAGAATTACTTAACAACATTGACATGAGTACAAGAGCAGTTTACAAAGTCGTATGTTAAAAAAATTTCCGATCAAGATCTGATCTAATATATATGTATTAAAAACGTTATTCCAACGTTGTGTGTGCATGCAGATGTACCTAGTAATACAAAAATTCCAAAACAAACACATGTACAGTTGTATATATTTAAGGACATATGCAAGGTACCTTACCTACTGATATTTTTTCGATATTCCTAATTTAAGATTTTAGTGCTATCAGATGTTCATAGAAAAAAAAATCAGCATGCATTACCAGGGTTTTTTGGAAAATATCAAATTATGATTTTTATCCCTATCAAGTTCAAACTACGTTGCGTATGACCTTATGAATAAAAGAATTTCGGGTCACTTCCTTGTCAAATACCCCAGGTACACACGCCCTTTTCATTGAAGAATAGGTGCACGACAGCACTAACTATGAAATAATAATTAAAATATTCTGTACAAGTGTTGTATTTAAGGTACAGGGAGAGTTGTGGATAAAATATACATGTACGCCAAGACAAAATGTAGAGGTTTGTCATGGGAAATATCCTGTGTGTCTGAATAGAAGGTCACAATGGCACAATTATGTAACAGATTTCATGAAGGACCTGCGAATAAGAGATAGGTACATCCAAATGTTACATTTGTACCGTCCAATTTTATTTTCTAGCTTTTTTTCCTTTTACACTGCATAAATTCATTATTCGTCTGTTTGAAGTGTGTGTGGAATGGGGGTGGGGGTGCGGTTGTTACTTGAATAGAGTGACAGGGGATGTCGTCTGTGCATGCGTTCCATTTCGATCAGGGAGGGGGAAGGGGGTAATATCAAGTCTTTATACACAGATCAAAAACACCAAACCATTATATGATATCTTTCGTATGGAATTGTAAGGAAGAGCGCTTTTCACATACACCTTAATTTGTTCATCTTCTTGGAAGAAACATTTTTAAGCGGGTTAGAGCTCAATGTTGGGATCATGCTAGCTTAATAAACCACTTAAGAGATCTCTCTGCAAAGACAGTAGGGACAAACATGATCGAGGTTTATGTATTCCAGCATGCTATAGAAGTTCAAGGCGAATTTGGGAATACTTTTGACTTGGCCAAGGTATATGTACAAGGATCATCGTATAGGGACATTTACCGAGGCTCTTCGTTCCTTGTAAAGGAATATCATGATTGATGGTTTAATTGTGGAGCCTCTTTATTTTTGAAGAGAACTTTTCGAATGTGAATCAATTAAATACTTATGAATAACGGGTAATTTAGATAATGGTGCATCACTTTTATTGAACGAAGTCGATCGCCCCGTGGCGCAGTAGTTAGAGCGTTTGCTCTCGAGTCGCGAAGTAAGTCGTTTGATCCTCACGTCGCAGGTTCGATTCCCACTGTGGGAAGTGCATATATATGGAGACTTTCCTTCGGATGAGACCGTATAAACCGAGATCCCGTGTTGCAATAGGTGCTGGCACGAAAAAGATCCTTCATTACTCAATGGCCCTGAATGCTGAGTATAGGACACCATTTGCAGCTCTCCACCGGCAAGTGGTGGCGTCTCCAGAGGCTAAACCGTTCCTTGTAAAGGAATATCATGATGGTTTAATTATGGAGCCTCTGTATTTTTACAGAGAACTTTTGAGTCACCATGGCGCAAGAGCGTTTGCGTCGCGGAATAGGATAATTCTCGAGAGGGACGTTAAACTAGATTCAATTTATCAATATTTTAAACGATTCTCGTCTATATCAGCGATAATAAATGGAAAAGAAAACAAAAACAAAAAGGATTTTGACAACATATCGGAAGGAAATTCAACTGATATATTTAGCTCAGCCTAATATTACATCCAATGAATATTTTTTCCCTTTATTTCTTCATTGCAATTAATCAGTGCATAAACGACACTAAGCAAATCACGTACATAGATTTCTTGAAATATTGCTGTCACATTAGTTATACAGTGATATATTCATTTATAATACAATGTATATTCAACATATTTAATGTAGTTTACTTTGAATGTTTTTTTCTCATAAAGATGTAAATATAAACAATATGTCCTTCTTTGTTAGTGCAAGGAGATTTGAAGAAAAAAAATTATGTTTCTATCAAAGTCGAACAAAGAGAGATAACTGGATCTTCGAGCACTGCTGACTTGACTAAACGTTGTGGTGCCGACTTTATACATTTGTAATCACCATGACACCTTGGTGCGGCATACAGACGATTTATATAATTAAAAATAGGACAAACAGAAAGCCACATGCACTGTTGGTTTAAGACAGTATAGCAGCAGCCATTCCATCTTATAATAATGGATTTTTTTTCCAAAAAAATACCCCTATTAACAAAGACAGGTTTTGAATTCCCAACAGTTTTCATTAGAATCAAACTCTTATTTCTCACAGGTACTTGTGGACAGGACCCCCCTCCCCCCCGATATTCAACCCGGGGGGGAGGGAGTCCTGTCCACAACTACCTGTGTTATTTCTCGCATGTTATTC